TGTATATCATTTATTTTTAGATTCTCCCTGAAAAGCTGATTTCATCAATGCATCACACTTGGGGTCCAGCGGGAATTATTACAGAGATATAGGGTGTATTCAAAATCGAGATTTTTCAACCTCAGAATTCTTTTGTGTGGAAACTAATCATTATTGGTCAAAACGGTTTGAATGCCCCTACCTCAACTTTTGATTCACTATATACTGACATTTAACAACAGATACAGGGTGATCAGAATTCTGATTTTTGAACCATGCCAACATGCCATGTAATATAAAAATGTACATTTTCGTTCAATTCTTGCGACTGTATCTCGATATAAACATAGTGTAAGCTCGCAGTGACATATCCTGTACATGAATTACCCACAGAAAAATAGTCAGAAAGTTTATAGCAACTTCATATTATGATACAAACAATCAAAAAATAAGGTACTTACCACTATGAAAACTGCTCATCACTAGATTTCCATCAAAATAATCTAGATCTGCCATTTCGATGTTTGAAAATTTCCACCCGGAACAACACACGAACACGGAACACCACAACACCACTGTCTTTTTAATCAATAAAATGAGCATCACCTATTCTATTCAAATCGATAAGTAATGATTTATTCAATTTATTTTTACTTGAACACAGTACGATTGTCACTATTGTATTTGAAGCACTCGTGTTGACCGTACGCCACGATCTCTAAAATAATACTGACTGCTTTGATTCTCCACCTCGTCCCGAATGACTAATTAGTTGCATCACACTTTTAACCGATTCATTCTGGAGCGAGTTTTTTATCTATTTATTTATGTATTTATTTATCTTATCGAGGGTATACGGGGTGAAATTAGATTATAAAATTATGATAAACAATACAGTGCGAGTCTGTATTGGAATACTTAACTTCTTTGAATCCCCATGGAAAGGTGTTCAACGAAATTTTCCACTACTTCTGGAGTGCACTAATTTGAACAGACGCACTGTATATAAACCCTATGTGTAATATATTTCTGATTTCTGCTTTCCAGATGATACCCTCATAAATATGGTACATTAATGATAAAAAAGAAGATTTCTCAAACATTGATAGTTTGGTTATAAAATAAATGTATTTAGAAGAGCACTTAATTTAAATAACGCACTGTATACGAACCCCATGTGTAATATATTTTTGAATTCAGCTTTCCATGGAAATTCCAAAATATTGAATTATATGTAGGGTGTTCCATTCGAGAAAATTGTCGCTAACATCATAACTCAAACATGGATCATCCTGTATATTTAATTTTTTTTCTTTTGAATGTGGCGAATCGAAAATTAAAATCGACCTGTTCCACTTAGGCTGTTATTTTTCTCATCCCTTCAATTGAGAAATGAATAGAACAATGATTTTTCATGGAAATATTAATACCCTGTATTTCGAAAACGAAGTAAGTTAGGACACATATTTATATAGACTCGTTCATCCAACGAATAGCGAGGCTCTGGAACACATTGCCAAGGGAGGTGTTCCCCGAGGCATATAACCTCCAGAAAGGACCCCGCACTTTTAGTACGTAAAATGGTTCTCGGTGAAATTTTCTGAATTTTCAGTATGTTGTAGAATTCGATGAACTGATTGAACCTGCAGAATCGTAAAGTTCTTTGATGAAGAGATTCTGAGATACAGGGCGTTGAAGTTACAAATCGGTATTCTTCATTTAATTATTTTCTCGAAATTCAAAGATGCCAAGTACAATTTTTTTCTCTCATATCATCAACGAACCTCCATATTACATAACATAATTCAGATGGTTCAGATAATGTAATTGTTTACAGAGTGAAACATATTAACATTTCAGTGATGTCTAAATATTCGATGTAATAATGAAATATCGAAAAAATAATTTAGGCATGCAGTATACTATTCTCATTGCGTCATGAATCACAATTCATACATTTCATACAGGGTGATTTGAAAAATTGATGACACCTAAGACCGATTTATTCATACACATCCTGTATATTCGAGTTAATTGTTTACCTCCCAAGATAGCTGATACCATATGAACATGATTTCGTTGAGATATATAGGGTGATCATGAAGATTTTCGATGATGAAAATGACAGAAAATCGTGTTTTTTGAAATCACTCTGTTATTCATGATTAACTCGGTGAAATTCCCTAATTATTTTTTAATATATTCATCATTCTCTCCTCAACGCTGTCTTGAAAATTCAGTTTCCTATCATGACGGGTGTCATAGTTATCAATTCAGGAACTTACCATTTGCATGAAGAGTTGAAGAGACCTGTTCACTTACATTCGCATAGTGGCCGATATTTTTCACAAATAGTGAAACGTGAGAATGTGGAGACGAAAATAAGTTTAGTATTCATATACAGGGTGAACATTAGAAATTCAACAACAAAGCAGATATATGATTTTGATAATATTAATATAATGTACAGATAGTTGTTCATTTACATTCGTCAAGTGGCCGAGATTTTTCACAAATAGTGGAACGTGAGAATGTGTAGATCAAGTGTAACATAAATGATCTATGATGGCCCATTTTGGCAGAGCTTGTATACCAACGAAATTCGCCTAACTATCTGTACATTATATTAATATTATTAAATTCATATATCTGCTATTGTTATTGAATTTCTAATGTTCACCCTGTATATGAATACTGAACTCATTTTCGTCTCCACATTCTCACGTTTCACTATTTGGGAAAAATATCGGCCACTATGCGAATGTAAGTGAACAGGTCCCTTCAACTCTTCATGCAAATGGTGAGTTTCTGAATTAATAACTATGACACCCGTCATGATAGGAAACTGAATTTTCAAGACAGCGTTGAGGAGCGAATGATGAATATATTAAAAAATAATTAGGGAATTTCACCGAGTTTATCATGAATAACAGGGTGATTTCAAAAATCACGATTTTTTGTCATTTTCATCATCGAAAATCTTCATGATCACCCTATATATCTCAACGAAATCATGCTCATACGGTATCAGCTATCTTGGGAGGTTAACAATTCACTCGAATATACAGGATGTGTATGAATAAATCGGTCTTAGGTGTCACCAATTCTTCAAATCACCCTGTATGAAATGTATGAATTGTGATTCATGATGGGATGAGAATAGTATATTGCATGCCTGAATTATTTTTTCGATATTTCATTATTACATCGAATTTTCAGACATGACTGAAATGTTTATATGTTTCACTCTGTAAACAATTACATTATCTGAACCATCTGAATTATGTTGAATAATATGGAGGTTCGTTGATGATATGAGCAAAAAAAATTGTACTTGGCATCTTTGAATTTCGAGAAAATAATTAAATGAAAAATACCGATTCGTAACTTCAACGCCCTGTATCTCAGAATCTGTTCATCAAAGAACTTTATGATTCTGCAGGTTCAATCAGTTCATCGAATTCTACAACATACTGAAAATTCAGAAAATTTCACCGAGAACCATTTTACGTACTAAAAGTGCGGGGTCCTTTAAGAAGAACACCAATTCCTTCCTACCTTATTCTCCTTGGTTCCCACGATGTTCTCTGAACATTACAAGATATCCCTTTTCGTGGGAACCAGAACATAAAAAAAAACTAAATCAACTCATGCTTTGAAGTTAATGAAGAAAGTCACATATGTACAGTGTGGAGACTAACTGGAATAGATTCTTCAGCGGGGAGGTGAATATTTTTCCTAAAAATTCCCGGCAAACGTCGAATATTTAATGTTATTTACCTACCTTTTTCAAACAATATCCAGAATATATCCTCCAGGGGAAGCTGAAAGCACCCTCAACATGATTTTTTCAAATGTAACCCAGAGGCTTGTGACACCCCATTGGAAACCTGGTGGAAAGAGGAATCCAGCGTACTAGTCAACTTTAGTTTTTTATAAGTTTGAAGGTTGCATAAAATTTAAATGTTATTTCAGAATTCAATTTTTTCTTTCAACGTATCGATCGCTCAAAACGTGTGTTGAACAATTGATGGCAATTTTTTGCCACAACTGCTATCTGCTACTGTATTCCATTGTTTTTATAGAGCCGCAAAAAGAAATTTCGTTTTTTTGCCGTATTCACAGTTCGAAACGAAGTGTTATTGCTAAGTGGTGGAGATGTCCTATATCACTGTCACTAAAATTCGAAATTTTGATGAAAATACGTTGAGAATATATCAAACTGAAATATATGATCAGTACGCTGGAATCCTCTTTCAATGAGGGGTCCCAAGCTATAGGGTTTGGTAAATAAATGTGGAAACAGGATGTGTTTAAATCCATGTTGCTGCATTTCTTGGTTAGACAATGTCATTGTTTTGTTTTCTCTCATCCGGGTTTCAGCAGCACGATGTCACGATAGGTAGGAGTTTGAGCAAATAACAGCGAGGTCCACATCTACAGATTTCGAAAAAAATATGGAAAACATTTTTGTGAAAAATAACGGGAGCCTCTTCGATATAGATAACCCAGTACCTACCTACATATGTTCATGAGGAAAACTCACTTCTTTACAACATTTTTGAAGGAATTGCTCTTTGAAACAAATCGTTTAGGCAATATGAAGGAATGGTTGTTGAAAAATGTCAGATAATCTCTCATTAAAAATTTCCACTCCGGAGCGAGCAGCTCGAAAACGGTTAGAGATTCGAAAAAAGTGTATGGGAAGAAAGTTGTGGAGCATTTTATCAGCTCTCATTTGATATCAGGAATTTTTTGTCTACGACGAACCCTTTCCGACATATAAGCGATAAACCCAAGAGCAGAAACAAAGTTTACAGAATTAAATATTTTTAATTCTGTAAGCTTTGGCAGAACGTCAGGACTTTTAGTATTTTCTCTAAACATCTCAAACCAGTTTCTGCTGAAATTGTTTAGGTCTTAGGTCCCTGCTCACACGCACTCTACAACCACCTTTGGGTCATTCATTGATTGGACGAAAAAACGTAACCCATATAATCGACTAAAAGAAGGGAAGTATGTTCAGATTCACAGCGAATATTCCAAGTGAATTTAATAATTATTCTGGATAGGAAACAATAGGAACAGGTAAGTATATCAGCTCAAGTTTATTTGCATCGGGAAGATTCAAAACGCTACAATTCTGGATAAGGAACAGATTGATGATAAACGGTGATCCGGATGATCTTATATCAACCTAGAGAGCGTAAACGATGGACAAAATAGTAAAAAGCAGAAAGTAAAATATGAACGATATTCTGTCGATGGTTGCAGCCAAAAGAATCCAGTCCTGCTGCATAGACGGTTTCACATGCGAAAACGAAGAAGAAGCAGGACGGAATATGCGGTGCTCTTCGCCGTTATTGCCATCTTCGAAATCTGTCACTTGATGGTCTCTCATTTCTTCAGCTGTTACTTGCAAACTGACTGTCGATGTCTGCAAATAACGGATTTATCAATACATACATGGTGTCTCAAGTTAAATACAAGCATCTAGCTAGACCAGCGAATCTTTTAAACATGGAGGTCAAGTGACGTCACCCACAACACATGATATTTCTCCCTTCTTGATATTGAGAAACTTCGACTACTACGAGCAGAGATTGAGTAAAGCAATAACTTAGTGGTCTGTGTATCTGACTCCCACGTTGGTGACTGGGGTTCAATCCCTGCGAGGAGTCAATTTTTTTTTAATTTTTTTCATACTCAATTAATTTTTCAAAAATATACTTTTAGGAAAGAGGTTCATTTAGGACGAGTTAAGTTGAATGAAAGTACTTTCCTTCTTCATGCAGAAGAGATATTTTCCTTGATCATATTACCTTATAAGTCTTATAAACACGAATAACCTTCTAATAACCTTGCGATTATGAGAAATATTCACTGGTCTAGCTAGACTCTCAAACAACCTACAGATTTACTTAAAATATTATACGGGGTTAGTCACAACAAGACCGACTAAAATGCACAGATACAGGTTCCAGGTTGTCGAAAGTACGAAGAAAATCAATAAGGTTTATATTGATTAATTTCTTCGGAACCCTTGGAGGGAAAAATAGTTATTTATTATACAAGGGAAAAAAGTAGTAGATTTTAGCTCCAGGTTGTGTTGTCTCCCGACGCGTAGCGGAGGGAGACAAAAAACCGTGAGCTAAAATCTAATATTTTTCCCGTGTATAATACACTATTTTTTTCTGTGACAGAAGGAAGGACGAATCAATATTGAGAAGATATTACATTATTTCGAAATCTGAAAATTATCGACGTGAAATTTCAAGTTTTTAACAGTAGGGACACCTGCGTTTTATAGACATCTTTATCATCCTTTTGAAATAATCAAATATCTGATGTCACTTCTGTCAGTTCAATTCTGTGATTTGATTTTAAAAAATCGCGAATTCAGTAGTTGTTTAGTAATATACGAAACCGCGAAGTCGAATGGAAGATAAAAGGACTTGCAGTTCTTTCTCGGAGACGGTATTATTGACTCATTTTTCGGAACTATAGCACAACAAAAGCCATTAACAGAGTATATATATGTGATATATATCCGGGAAAGAAGTACTCACTTTTTTCCCACGGGAAAAAAGTAATTTATGAAAAGTGACATTTTATACCCTGCCAACAGAGATGAAATGCCAAACTTTTTTCCCGTCACAGAAAAAAAAACTTGGTATACTATTCCAGTTTAATCAGAGTAGTCACAAGGTGTTTCCATCTTTGAATTCTCATCAGCAGTGGCGTAGTTACGGTCGTACACTTTCATTCATATTCTTTCCTTGACAGATGAAATGTCAATGAATTACCTCAAGACATCAGTTAGGCTTATTAATACTCCACCTAGAAGTACCTATGTGTCAAGTAATTCGTTCGACCACAGTGGTGATATCAGGATGGTTAAAGGTTGACTTGACTCCCATCAAAAGTTAACGTGGTAACTTTGTGGGCAGGTTTGGAACGTGACCGATATTCCCAAACAGCTGGTTGGTCAGACTGGTGGTCAGACTTCATACTGAACGTATATGTACCCGGTCAAACCACAGACTTGACACAGCCTATAATAACCTTTTACATGCCTATAATGTAGAGGTTTCTGAGATATATGCGAAAAACTAAAGAAATGTATTGAGATTATATGTTGAAGAAGGAAATTCTAATGCTCAATTTCATTCACATAATTATTCTAGAGAAATAAAGCAATATAAAGTTTTCACCTCCAACCTAACACAGATACATCACAGAGATAATTGTGACCTGCAATATCGCATTCTATATCGCATAGACGTCGCTGCGATGTCAGAGGAATATTATTTTGTCCCACTCAAGTTTCATCCATTTGACGTCGCTGCGATAATAAGTTATCTGCGATATAACAGCGATCTATGTTTTGATGTTATTTGTGATGGAAAAGCGCTGTGATTTTGCGATAAAACTACGATGTGATGCGAGATGACATCGCAGTTAAACGAAAAAAGATTCCTCTAACATTGTGTGATAATATAGGTACACCACTGACTTCTGATGACATCTTATATTGATTATGTGTTGTTGTGACTGGTTGGTGGTCCCTCGGGTCTCCTGTCTATTCAATCAGTTACTCGTATTTGCATCGAAAATTCTGTAGTGTGTGTCGGCAAGATGTAAGCAATTTAGGTTCACATTGTTGAGTAACGTATATTCATGTATTGTTTTTGACCGAATAAAAATCTATAAGAATTTTTTGAAAATTTCTTGCATATGAGTTTGCTTCTATATAAATCGCAGCGATGCAACATTCGTGATATCGCAGTGTTGCTTCATCGCGACATCTCAGAGATGGCATGTCGCAGATATGTTTGCTTCTGTACATCACGACAAAGGAACATTCGTAATATATCGCAGTGTTGCTTCGTCGCGACATCTCAGATATTTAATATCGCAGATGTGTCTGCTTCTGTATAACGCAGCAATGTAACATTCGTAATAACGCAGTGGTGCCTCATCGCAACATCTCATCAGAGATGTCATTCGCAGATGTGTTTGCTTATGAACATCGCAGAGATGGAATATTTGTGATATCGCACTGTTACCTAAACACGACATCTCAGAGATGTCATGTCACAGATGTGTTGGCTAGGCTTGAGATATCGTGTGGAAAAAAAGCAAGTTTGTCGACCTACTTATCGGACTCACCCGTGCTATGTTTCCAAATGTTCTCAACATTCAAGTACTTTCAGGAGGTAGAAAAATTTTCTGATATCTTTATGATACGCAATATAACCGTAAGACATATTCTTAGATTTTCGCAAATATCTCGGGAACCGCTGCAATTAGGCATGTGAAATGTCATCACTTTTAGGTGGCATATTAATAAGCCTAACTGATGTCACACACCAATTTGACATTTCATCTATCTAAGAAAAAATATTAAGGAAAATGTGGCGACATAGGATCGTAACTACGCCACTGGGAATCAAAATTCAAAAATGGAAACTGCATGTGACTAGTATACCGAGTTTCAATTTTTTTCCTTCAGGGGTTCCGAAGAAATTAATATAAACTTTGATTTTTTTCGTACATATGATGCCCTGTATTACTGAGAGGATGCATTTTAGGACATACGATGATAGAAACTTTTCTCCTCAAAGTATTGTGGAACTTTTCACTTCAAAATGAGGTAAGGAATCCGTATACAAAGTTTGTCGGTCTTATTCTGACTCACCCTGTATAAACGTGTTTATTTCCATTTATTACCTCATTGTAAACTCATATAATTGTTGTAATGTTTTGATATTACCTGTTGTATATAGGAACCCAGTCCTAGTAAATGTCCAATTTTCCCTGTGAGCGGCTGTTTTACTATCCAAGGGAGAGATGTGGAATGTTTGGTTCTAGATAATGTTATCACCAAAACCGATCCGATCATTGAAAAACTCACGATGTATAGGCAACTCGTATAGAACAATACTGAAAATATTATACAGGGTGTTTCATAATATGTGGGACACACTTCGAGAGGTGATGTGTCGTCTCACGAAAATGAATGAACAAAGGTCGTAAAACGCTTCGTTTGCGAGATACAGGGCGTTAAAGTTTTTGTTTGCGATCATCTATAGCAAATCAATGAAAATTATTTTTATTTTCAACTTAGCACCCTGTATTTCGCACATATTATTGAACATCCTATGTGTATGTGAATGACAATACAGGGTGTTAATTAATTGAGGGTCGATAATGCAAGATGTGAATCCTCGGATGATTTTAAGGAGAAAAGTTTACATCAACAGTAGATAAGATTAGCCGTTTCTGACTCTCCGCCCGAGGTCACTCTCCTCTGACCTTGGGCGGAGTGACCTTGGGCGGGAGTGACCTTGGGCGGAGTGACCTTGGAGCAGGAGTGACCTTGGACCGGAGTGACCTCGATGCAGAAGTGGCCTTGTACGGTAGTGACCTTGAGTAGGAGTGACCTTGGGCGGGAGTGACCTCGTGTCAGAGTGACCTCGATGCAGAAGTGGCCTTGAACAGGAGTGACCTTGAGTAGGAGTTGCCTTGGACGGTAGTGACCTTGAGTAGGAGTGACCTTGGGCGGGAGTGCTCTTGGGTAGAGTTACCTCCGCATGTGCGACCTTGTGAGTGAGTGACCTCGAGTTGTAGAGAGAGAAAGGCCTTGACCGTGATGGAAGGTTGCACCGTATGCGACGTTGCTTGACCTTGAGTGTGAGTGTCCTTGAGTTGTAGAGAGAGAGAGAGATCTCGACGGTCGAGGTCGTATTGGTAGAAGTGGGGCGATGTGTGTTACGTCATGACTCTGCCTTATATAAACCCAATAGCTGCGTCCGTGAGCGCATAGTTCTCTCTCAATACTACCATCAACATTAACCTCATTAGTTTTTGTGAGTGATACATTATCTGAACAATATGTTATTCTGCAGTGTGTGCGCTAAGTCTTTCACGCGTAGTGACAATCTACGACGCCATGAAAGAGTTGCATGTGTGGGAAATTTGAACCCTCCTATCGCAAAGAAGCCTCGACTGGGAAATGGCACTCAGCAAGCAACAACTTCTGGAAATCTGCAGGCATGTACCATTTGCAATAAGATGATTCCAGCTGATAAAATGAGCGCTCATAAAAGGACATTGGAGCATCGAACAAACGCTTGCGTCAATTATAGGGATGGAGTATATGTGATTGAGAATGCGTTCAAATGCCGTATTGTAAGTTATAGATTGGAATGCAGAACTGATGTATTGGATTACAATACGTTTTTTAATGAAAATAAAGCGACCATAATATCCCTATTGGATAATATAATCTCGATTCACCACTCCATCAAAGTGAATATGGAAGTATTCGGAAGATATATTTTACAATCCCAAGATCTTCACGATATCAAATCCTTCATGACACCAAATCACATCATGGATTCATCGCTGGATTTGGAGGCCGTAGTTGACACATTCAAGGACATCTTATTGAATCAAACGACTGAATTTGAGGAACGCGATTCTGGTGAGTTGATATATTTTTCAACACTTTTGATTATCATCTGATGGTATTATTGTTATAGGTTGGGCTTTAGAAAAAATCATGTTTCTGGAAATCAACATCAACAAATACAGTCCGCTGCGTGGGTGTTCCTACATGAAGCTACCTAGCTTCATAGAGAATAAAAAGGCAGTAGTGAACATAGTGAACCAGGATGAGTGCTGTTTTGCTTGGGCTGTGACGTCTGCACTGTATCCGGCAAGGGCTAATGTTTGCGAAACCTCTTCATATCCGCACTATTCTACGGTTCTGAATTTGGTGGGTATAGAGTTCCCTGTTAAAGTGAGTAGCATCCCAAAATTCGAAATTCTCAATGATTGTTCCATCAACGTTTACGGGTTAGAAAGTGTGTTTGAAAAACATCAAGTGCAATATCAGATAGTCGGCCCACTGTATTACTCTAAGAAAAGAATGAGTAAACATGTGAATTTACTTCTGACCACAGATGATGAATCCGGAAATAGCCACTATTGCTGGATAAAGAATTTATCTAGGCTGGTATCTAGCCAGATATCTGCCAGGGGGCATAAGAAATTTTTTTGCGACGGCTGTTTGATACATTTCTCAGATGAAACAAAGTTGTTACGCCATCAGCTAAATGATTGTAACCATACATATACTACAACTCCATCCACAGAGGTCAAAGTCGATAAATTTGGAAATTCAGTACCTGAAAACATTTTGAAATTCGAGAAATTTGAGAAACAGATGAAAGTACCATTCGTTATTTATGCAGATTTCGAATCAGTTCTGAAGCCGATACATACTAGCCAGCCAGATCCGGAGAAATCCTTCACTAATAGAACATTCGCACATGAGCCTTATTCATTTGCATACCTTATCAAATGCTCTTTCGATAATTCTATCACGAAATTTGTTACATTCCGTGGGAAAGATGCTGCGAAAAAATTCGTATCCAATTTAGTCAATGACTGCAAAATAATTTACAACTTGTTTCTAAAACGTGTAGTTCCTATGAAAAAATTAACTCCGGCAGAAGAAGTTGAATTCGCTGATGCCACGGAGTGTGGCATTTGCGATAAAGCTTTCATATATGGTGACGTCAAAGTAAGAGACCACTGCCATCTAACGGGGAAAAAAAGATTCGGTGCCGCACATTCAATATGTAATTTGAACTTTAAAATTCCAAATTTCATCCCCATATTTTTTCATAATATGAGTGGCTACGATAGCCACCTTTTCATCAAACAACTATTCGATCGAGAAGAGAAAGTTGATTGTATCGCGCAAACCAAGGAAAAATATATCTCATTTACCAAACATATCTTAGTTGACGAATATTTGGGAAAAAACGGTGTGAATCAGAATGTCTTTTTGAAACTGCGATTCTTGGATAGCTACAAATTCCTTGCCCAACCTCTGCAAGCCTTGGCCGGAAATTTGAATGAATCTCAATTTGTAGAAACTGCTAGATATTTTCGTGACCCTGAAGAATTCAAATATATGACGCAGAAGGGAGTTTTTCCATATAGTTTCATAACCTCTATGGATAAATTGAATAACAAAGATTTGCCATCTAAAAATGATTTTTTCGATAATTTATCTAATAAACATATTTCAGACGAGGATTATCTAAGAGCTGAGCATGTTTGGAATTTGTTTCAATGTAAAACACTCGGTGATTACTCTGATCTCTATTTGAAATCAGATGTTTTATTGTTATGCGATGTTTTCGAGAACTTCCGGAACGTTTGTTTAAAAACGTACAAGTTAGATCCATGCCAATACTTTACAGCACCCGGTTTATCATGGGATGCTATGTTGAGATACACAAAAATCGAATTAGAATTGTTAACCGACATCGATATGATACATTTTTTCAAAAAAGGAATAAGAGGTGGGATAAGTCAATGTAGTCTGAGGAGCCATGTTGCGAATAATAAGTTCATCCCAAACTTCAATCCAAATGAACCATCAACATACATCATGTATTTAGATGCAACTAACTTGTACGGTCATAGTATGTCACAGCCGCTACCAACATCCGATTTTAGGTGGTTGAACAGCCAAGAAATTATGGAGTTGGATATCATGGGTGTTGAAGATGATAGCCCATATGGGTATGTCCTTGAAGTTGACATATTCTATCCTGAGGAATTACATGACGCACACTCAGATCTACCCTTTCTCGTGGAATCCATTGCACCACCCGGATCAAAATCTAAGCTGAAAAAACTGATTCCCAATTTGTCGAATAAGATAAAATATATTGTTCATTACAGAAATCTCAAACAGGCTATAGAAAACGGTTTGACCTTGATTAAAACCCATAGAGTACTCAAATTCAAGCAATCCCCGTGGTTGAAAAAGTATGTTGACCTTAATACAGAAATGCGTAATAAAAGTACGAATAAAGCTGATAAGAGTTTATATAAGAATATGGTAAACTCAGTTTATGGCAAAACCATGGAGAATGTTGATAAAAGGAGCGATATCAAACTCGTAACTCATTGGGAGAGTATCACAAAGAGAAAGGGTGCTAATGCATTAATAGCACTACCCAATTATAAGACCTGTAAAGTATTCCATGAAAATTTCGTAGCAATCCATATGGGAAAAGTTAGGGTGCATTATGATAAACCGTTGTATTTAGGTTTCAGCATACTAGATGTGTCAAAAGTTGTTATATATAACTTTTTGTATGAATGCATTAAGAAGAATTTCTCTGGTAAATCGTGGCTATTGTATACCGATACGGATTCATTGATACTCAAAATAGAAACAGAAAACTTTTACAATTTCATGAAGGAAAATATAAGGTATTTTGACACATCCAATTATCCCGCGGATAACAAATTTAATATTCCAATAACAAAATCAGTAGTGGGTAATATGAAGGACGAATTTCCAAATGATCCTATTGTGAGTTTTTATGGGACGGGTGCTAAAGCATATTACGTTCAATCTTCGAATGCCGAATTGAAAAAAGCAAAGGGGGTTTCAAGGGCAGTTGTTAGTAGTGAATTATCGATGGATGATTATAAGAAAATCGTAGAAAATGGTGGCTTGATATTCAGAAAAATGAATACTTTTCGCAGTGATCGTCACGATATTCATACTGAAATGAAAAACAAAGTCGCCCTTTCATACCATGACGATAAACGGTTTATTATACCTAATACAGTAAAAACTTTACCTTGGGGGCATAGCGATATTGAATTTTATCAAACGAGTGCTGAACGTAATATGCTTTGGTTACAACAAGCAATATCTGCTACAATGCAAACATCTGAAAAAAAATCAAATTCGAGCGATAATTTGGACGACTTGATAAAAATGTTGATGGAACAGTCCGAACCTCATTAATAATGATAGCGAACTCTGTATCCCAACCTCAGACAGATACATTAACCGCGATTTATATATTCATATTTATTTTTTATCTAGTCCTCATGTAATA